ACTATTTTAATGCACTTATAATTTTTACATAGCCTACAATTCTTCTCTTAACGCTTCCAAAGCCAATGAAGTTAGATTGCATCAACCACACAGGACAGGGAAAGTGAGCTCACCGGGCCATCCCTCACTGCCGGTCTTCACGATGCAATCAATGCTGGAGCAAGGGGCACGATCTTGAAGGCAGGCAGCAGACACTCTGGCTCTGCCACGGACTGTCCCGTCTCCCTGTCTCCCACACCTCCCCCCATCCAGGTACATAGTCGCATTTTCTCAGCTGGCTCCGCCAAGCCTAGGTAAGGCAACATACACACTTGCACACCTGCTTGTGCCCCATCAGCACACTGGCCTGAACACCACTGAGGACGCTTTGTTCGAGCCACAGTGAAGCCAGCAGTCATGGGAGGGTGTCGAGACACTAACTGATCACTGAGTTTCCCTTTTCAGGGCTTGTGAGAAAACCTCGAATTTGTCTTCAGTTAAATACCAAGCCCAGCCATGAACGATTTCATTTCTTCAAAGACCACTGAGTCGGTTTCTAAGACTAAGTATCTAATTCAGGCCACTGGAGGAAAAAGCTTATTGGGTTCTGAGGTGAGCCTCAGGGACCATCTTGGAAAATAATCAAATTATGATTTTAATTTAAAACTTGCTCTCCTACTATTCAGCAAAGCAGCTGATAAGAATGGTAGGACCAAGGTTTAACAGAAACTCAAAAAACAGAAACACCAAGCCAGGAGATAAATTCTGGGTAAAAGATGGCAATGCAAATGAGAAGAAATATAAAGGAAGGGTCTTGAGCAGGCAGGGAACGAATCAAGAAGGAGTGAGCTGCAGTCATTAACTGCAGCAACACAGCAGCCTTTTCTCAAGCTCTACACAAACTACCAAGATTATGAAAAATATGTTTGGAGTTTTCCTCAGGAAAAATTAATCATTTGCAAATATTTATCGACAAAGTTCATTTCCCCAAATTGCCTATAGCTTCTAATTGACAATCTACGAGGTCAATGCAGCTGCAAAAACTCCTGAGATGCTGGCGAGGCTATATTCCTACGTCCGTTTGTCTTTACTTCACTGCTGATGAGAACTTCCAGATTGGCTCCTTTATAGGCTGGCACTCCTTTCTCAGTGTTAGCAAATAAAGATCGAGTCATTTCTTGGGTGATATTATGGCTGGTTCAACTCATTCAGCAAATGTGTCTACAGACTGAGGTCAGATAACTGAATTTGTCACCTTTAAGAGAGAATGCCTGGACAGCACCTACCTCTTTTGAATTATCAGTACAATTGTTTAAAGCGGCAAAGAGGCAATGTCTGGGTGGCAGAGCTCTTTTCCCAGTGACCCCAAGCCCCCAGGGGTGCAGCCCACCTGTCCTGGCCGATGCGTTTCACAGCGGCACTCAATGCTCTTTACTAAAAGCCACAAATAAAGCAAAGCAACATAAACTACTGAAGAAAGGATGAAAAGCCTGGAAGAAGAGAAAACAAAAGGAATGTTAGGGCTTCCTGCTCTGCACACACACCATCGTTACCTTGAGGAACGGTGACTGGACCCGACAATTTCCTGGGAAAAACAAACACCTCTGGCTTATTTGTGAAAGAAACGGATCTACAATTCACTGTCTAATTTATCTTTAAACTCACTGAATGTGTGGGGAACTTGCTATACACTTCTCTCACTATGTAACCCTAAAACTTTTGCCACCCCAAGTGTGGAAAATATTTTTTTCTAAGCCTACTTGTTTTCCTTCAGCAGTGATGTTTGTGGGAGAATGTGACATATTTCTCCTGGGTAATTTTAGGTTATAATAAGAGCTGTTTTAAATTGTTCTCAATACAGCAAATAGGAAAAATAAAATAAAATAGAAGTATTTTGTACCACCCATAAATCAGAAGATCTTCCAGTTACAAAACGAATGTGATGACTTGTCATTTAGATGTTTATATCCCTATTTGTAAAAAGTTATTAAAATTCACATGTCCTTTAAGTTAGGCTAGGAAGAAAATAAATAAATGGAATTAGTAGTATCTGAACTATCAGAGTGGAGACTGAAGGAAATAACATACTTCTCTGTAAAGATTCCAGTTCACAGATCATTCTGTAAGTTCACATGTGTATCACACCAACTTAGGAAGTGTCTGGGGGGGGGTTACAAAATTCCCATGTTCACAAATATTCACATTTGGAATTACTGTCCCCAGACACGTATTCCTGTGTGTGAATCACATTCAGTGAGTGGCTCCTGCTGATGTGGACAGGTCCTCACACGGTCACCTCACGGTGTGACCCACGGGTCACCTTCCACGTAGTGACAGCAAGAACTGTCGACACACTGAACACGACCACGCTGACAGCAGGGACACAGCTTTCTTCTCTTTCCTGTCTCACCGAATTTCTGATTGTTGTCCACTGGTCATTCCAGTTTCAATGAAATACTGACTCAGTCACAGTGGACAGACGGGATGCACGGCTGTCCTGAGAAGCTGCCCTTCTCCCAAAGGAGTTAGAACAAAATGCAGATAGGGTTACAAATCAGGACAGGACAGCCGACATTAACAGTTCAGGAAAGAACACGAAGAAACACCACTTCTGTGAACCCCATACTCTTCTGAATGTGTACGGATCTGTACCTATCATCTTAACGAGGAGCTGTATGTGTACCTGTGTGTGCAAAACACGACAAAAAACACTTTTAAAAGACTCTCTTCTGACAGAAAATGCAGTAAGCATAACGTTCACAGAGGTTCATTTTATTTTACCTTGAATATACCTGCATTTTAGAAAGCTTCAATAAATTCAATGATTTAAAAAAGAAATCAAAGATACCAACACATTTTTCATGATCCAAAAATGATTCCACATATTTTCTTTAGCAAAGTCATTTGTAATAAATTTATTCTATTTATATTCATGTGTAATCATTTGTATTTTCTATGTAAATACTGTCAATTAGTCTGTCTAGTGAATTCTGGGGGGAAAAAGGAAAGTGTACATTAGCTGTAGTTCTTTCAAAAAAAATCACTGAATTTTAGAAGAATTTTAATATCACCAATTCCACCCCCTTCCCACAGATCAGGAAGTGGAGGGAAGGAGATGAGCTGGCTGCAGCTTCCACACGGCAGAGCCGGAATGAGGAGCCGGGCCGGGCCCACCACAGAGCGTGACAGCCTGGCTGGTGCAGGGCGACACTGACACACCCTGAGCTGTGAACTTGCTACAAAACTGCAGACGGGAGAAGGGCAGGAGAGCGCCCTGTGGTGATTCACTGAAGGTTTCCTTCACAAGGAATGCTGAAACCATGCTCCATATTTCCCACTGAAGTGAAAAAGTAAAGGAGGGACTGAATTTTCTTCCTAGTTTTGTAGACCAGATGTTAACATAGCTGAAAGTGAGCATGCGGACCTGCTAACACAGATGTTTCATAGCTCTGCTCTCCAGCGTGGCGGTGGGTCATGAGGAAGTTTTCAAAGGAGTAAATCAGTGCCGGCTCCCTACCTAGGTACCAGTCATTAACACAAGATGGAAAATCGAGGCGCACAGGTTGGCTACCACGCAAGGTGACAGGCGGGACACAGAATTCCACGTATGTGATATTATCTCTGCTGCAAGCAGCCACCAGAGAAAAGAAATGAGGGGTCTGCACTTGCATGGCATTAGACAGACAGCCAAAATAAATACAGTGATGCAAAGTTGGCTGGGCTGGAGACGTGCACACAGCCCAGTAATGCAGGGCCCTGCCGTCCACTGAGCTGCGTGAGGCTCGGGGAGGAGCCGGCAGTGCTGGCCAAGCAGAGGGAGAGCAGGTGGAGCCCATGTTGTCCTCAAGCTTCTCCGGGAATAAAACTAACAGCAAGGAGTTTGAAAACAATCGCTTTTTAGCCCTTTTGCAATACTTTTAAATTAGTTTTAAATGTCAATGGTTCCTGTAATGAACTTAGAATAGAAATATATAGAAATAAATAATTTTTAGGGCTGTTGGCATTTATGATCCTTTGACGTACGGTCTGAGCAACTAGAGTTGATGTCAGAAAGAAGTAAATATCCAGGCTTGTTAGGCTGAAACACCTCTGGATTTACACTGGAAATATTTTTGAAATATAAGTAAATCCCTCTTTCCTGCATTTTAATTTATATTATTTTAAATCATTGTAGGAATCTTTGCTATTTCCTTAGCATTTTTATAAAAAAATTGAATTTACTATCTGATTTAGCTGGTTTATATCTCATAACTTCTATTCTAGCACTGAAATCCACAAGTCTGAATCCCTAAGGCTTATGTATGTGCCAGAGGGCTGGCCTGGGCAGTTAGTTCAGTGGTCAGCGCATTTATCAATCCTTTACAATCACCCAGCACTTCCCAGGTAAAAATTACTGTGTCTTCTAGGTATCAGTGGTTATTCTGAAAAAAGAAGAAATGGGTTGTATATGTTGACATCCAGGAGCTATTAAATCAGTTAAGTCATATCGAATGTTATTAGTGAGGTAAAGATTTTTGTAAAGTAAAGGGCACCCTCCCGCTGGAACGAGCAGACATAAGGTGCTGATGCCGGTGGACACACAAAGCTGTCCGTGGTCACGGTAGCACCCTCCTTTCTCTGTCCTTCCTATAATGTGATTTGATGCACAGCTATTTATTTTTCAAGTAACCTGAAGAGCAGCCATTGTCACTTAATGCTGACGATAGGAGGGTAATTCAGAATATAGTCATTTTTGGACGCCGCCAACAGTCTCTAACAATTAAGTATTTTCTACTACATCTTCTTCCATCATAGATGTAAAAAAAACCCCCAGGATTAGGAGGCTGCATTTTAATTTTATAAAAAAGCGAAAAATAAAAACTTCAAGACCAATTGAGATACACTTAGATATTGCTAAATCTAAGCTGTCAACCTCGGTGACTTTCCTTGGAGAAACACTACAGATGTACGTCCACCATAAATGATCATAACCGCAAATTTCACTTTCGCAATTAGAATAATCAAGGAACACAATTCAGAAATAATATTACATCCCGCATTTTATTCAATTCCATATGACAAAAATAGTAACCTAGACTAAGACATCCATTTCGATCAGCAGATGTGTCGAGCCACAGATTTTATCATAAAAAATATTGGATCTAGGTAACGATTCCCAGCTGCTTCAGGGAGGCCCCTGGCCCCACATGGTATTGCAATAGAAAAATAGCGTCTCTCTTCACCATGCGGGGGGAGGCCCAGCCCTGAACAGACGGGGCCAGTCTCACTGTCCCTTCACGAGCCATCTTATTTACAACACTTTACATTTCTCTTTTCGTAAATTATATACACATCCTTTTGGGAGAAGAGAGGACACTACAGGGTACCAAATACTAACCAAAAAAAAAAAAGATTTCACACCAAAAAGGACACAGATAAATAATAAAAACATTCAACTGCTGAAACAGCAACAGTAGGCCACCTCAGTTTTCTTTTCCCCATATGGTGACACCCCTCACCTGTCCCACGAGAGGAGAGGTACAACACAGGAAGCTTCCCTCTCGTCACCGTGGGAAACAGCGCTGTAGACTTCAAGGTTCATTTCTGGTAGAAATAAACAGCTAAGTCTGCTTATTCATGAGTCTTCAAAACGCTTTTTGCTCACTGCCTCGATGTGACTTTGTTGTTGCTGTTGTGTTGGAAAGATTGTCCTGTTTCTCCGTTTCCACTGAGATGACTTCACTGTCTGACTCCTTCTTCCGGGGCACACACTCCTCTCGCACAGTCACCCTACTCCCCACGACATCTCCGCAGCAGTGTCGTGGGAGGAAGTTCACAGACTCCAGCACGCTGGCGACGCACAAAATGAGGTAGAGCACACGACTGTGCCTGTGCAGGCTGCAACTCGGCCCCGCCCCGGCACCCTGGCCACGGGTCCCTTTCCTTACTCGAAACAAACTCACCAGCTTAAGACTGAATTTTGAATAGTCAGATGACATTGTGCTTTGTTTTCATCTGAGAAGATAATAAATAAATCAGGAACTCAGAAAATTTCCCACGTATGACTGATTATACTGCCAGACACCCGACATTTCTCTCCAGTTTATTGTTTATTGACAGGCAGTCAGAATCCTGTTCGTGGGCGCGGGAGAAAGAGACAGCAGAGATCACAGTAATATTACACCTACACAACGACTCTTAGTTAGTTCCTGGCTTGTATGGTGTCACAGTCCTAAGGTTAATGCATCCAAGTTTCGTCAGGGGTGGTCAAGTTTTCAAATGGGCTTTGTAGAAAAGTTAAATAAGTCATTTTAATTTAAGAAATGGCAGGCCCTAGTTTATTGAGGAACTCACAAGTCTTGGTGGCTTTTCTGTTTAAGTAGCATAGATTTCTCATATTGTTTGACCTTAAGACAAAACAAGAAACTATAACTTTTTTTTCATTTTCCTTAAATCAAAGTACTATTTATAAAATACTTTACATCTTTTTAAATTTTCAAATTATAGACAAACCTCCCTAATACAAAATACTAAAAGTGCAATAGTATAAATTAAGAGTTTGCAACCACATTATACAAACATTACCTTTTTATTGTACAGCTTCGATAACGTGAAATATTTACTCACAACTGTTTATAATGTTGTGAATAATTTACGGTGACGTTTGTCTGTAACTTGTTCCCAATCACTGGGCTACAGACCACACTAGAGAGCAACTGTCCACATAGCAGCTACACACACTTAAATTAAAAAGAAAAAAGGCTTGTTACTGATAGGTACTTGCACACAATAGCATGCCATCTTTCCCAACAGAATTCACAATTTTGCCTGTATTGAAATAACCCACTTATTTATAATAAAACAAATCTTGCTTAAAAAAAAAAAAATCACATAGCCAGATGTATTCTGCAGTACAAAAGCTTCCTTTAAAGTTGGGGCTGTATTGTCTGTTACCCGCATAATCTTAACATTATAAATACTACAGACAAAAGTACCGCCATAAGACAGCGTTAGGAGTACTGGACCACGTCTTTACGATGAGAGTTCTAAAAACAGTTCAAGTTTCTAACTAATTCCAACAAAACGATCGAATGAGTTTCACTAGATATACCACGGGGGACCCCTCTCTCCCTCTCAGGGATTATTAGGTTTTAGGAGAAAGGAAGTGGATGTGGTCTGAGCCCTTTTCATTCCCAAGGCGGTTTTCCAAGGACTTCTTTCTTTGATTTGTTTAACAGATTGCAGAGTTCTCAAGAACAGTCAAGCTCACCGTGGAAGCAAGTACCATGCAGAGACCACCTGTCAGCAGCCACACAGCTCACATGTTTTCTATAGGTAAAACTTTGAGAACCGGCAGGAAGGGCGAGGCTGATGGTGACACCTCTCAGTGTGCACGTGGGACAGGGCCAGTGGACTGAGCTGCGCGCACGGCTAGTTAATGCCAATCTCCTTGTTGTCCTCAATAAACCTCGTGAACGGACGGCTGGTTCCCGTGTCGGAGTTTGCTTTGTCCAAACCCACAATGGGCGGGCTACTGCCGGTGCGAGCCTTGTCCATCCCAGCGGTCAGGGAACCCAGGGAGGGGAGGGCGCTTCCGCCCAGACTTACTGGCAGCTGGGGGATGCCTCCATTCTGGATGACAGAAATCTCATTGTTCTTCATGGCAAGACCGTTTGTGATCGCTGCGGCATACTGGTTCCAAAAACTGGGGTCAACATTCATTGCTCGCGCTGCCAAATCCTTCTGGAACATTTCCGAGAACTTCAGGGCATCACCACCTAGCAGAGCCATGGGGTTTTCCACAGACAGGCGGCGGCCGCGCCTCGCAGGGGCGTTATTCCACATGTGCGTGCCCATGTGCACCTGCGTGTGAGACACGGAGAGACAACCCACGAGTAAGCAAGCCCAGCCCTGCAGGCGGCGTGCTCCTGTCTCCACGGTCACAAGTGTCATCCAGAAACTCAGTGTAACTTTCTCAGAGTCTTTTCTTTCCCCATCCTAAGCATTAGTATGGGGACAACAAAACATTGTTAGGTGAACTCCTGAGCCTCTTATACTTAAATATGCAACACTTCCTTTTATCATATACATGACGCAAAAGCAGCCAATGTGGTAATGAATGTTGCTTTCAGTTCACAAACCCGATAGAAGAACTTTTGCCCCTAGTGAGACCCAGAGGATGTTCCACAGCGAGAGGACACAGGGCCTCGCCCCCACCCCCCGAGCCCCCTGTCCTCTGTGCCTCTCCCCGCCCTTTAAATCGTCTTCTACTCGAACTCTTGGCCTCACTGTCCTCTCTCCTCTGTTGCTTTCTCCCAAACATGGAGGAAACACCCCAGGACACCTGTGGTCAGCAGAGACCTCAGGTGGCTCTTATCCTACGAGCAAGCAGAAGCCACAGGTCCTGATCTTTTCACAGTCCCTGAAGGGGTCACCGAGACCCAAACAGGCATGTGACATGGGATGGAAAGTGGCACGCTCAGGAGGTGAACACAGGCCTGGACGTGTCATCCAGCATCCTTCACACACTCCACCTTTAGGGAAACGGGCAGCATGGCTGGAACCTTAAGCACGAGCACACTGCCGTGCTGTGTCCCTCTGCTGGGAAGCTTCTCACAAACGCCACGTGGACAAAACACCACAGGACCAACCTCTGGCCCCCAGGCAGGATTTGCATTATTCCTATCACGTGCAAGCGTTTAATGGCCCAGTTTATCTTATTATCAGTGTTCCGCAAAATTCAAGACAGCCCTGGCCCTGGGCCTGCCCACCCTGGAGCAAGTGTGTGTCATCCCCAACAGGCTGCCACGGCCACCAAAGCGGCACAAGCCCCTTGAGGGAAGGCTAGGCCTGCATGGGAAGGTGAGCCTCTCACTCCATGTGGATGGCACGCACACCTTGGTGAGCGCACACATACACATATGAATGCATGTGCATTTGAACACATGAGCATAGACTGCACACACTACACATGTGCATGTGCACACTGACACAATGCACATGCCACCACACACAAAATACATGCACACTCTACATGTGCACACACAACTCACGTGCTCACGTGCACATACACTACACATGCACGCACTCACCCACACATGCACCCACACCACACAGGCATGTACAGTGCTGTCTTGCGTGGGTGCCCCAGCATCTTAGCCCAGCTGGGACCTCAGTGGATGCCCCGCCTGCTGTACCTAGGGAGGTGGAGAGCGTCCCGAGCTCGGCGGGCAAGCACCCGTGCCCTTACCTTGAGGTTGCCCTTGGTGGTGAATGCCCTCCCGCAGATGGTGCAGCCGAATGGCTTCTCCCCTGTGTGGGTGCGCTCATGGATCTGCAGTGCGCTGGCCGAGGAGAAGGTCTTCCCGCAGGACTGGCAGTTGTGCTGCTTGGGCGTCCGGCGTGGCGGCGGGGCCAGCATGGGGGCGAGCCCGGGGCTCATCACTGTCTGCGGCCCGGCGGGCACCTGGACGGCAGCCGGTAGCGGCGGGCCCTCGCCCAGCGCGACAGCCTTGCTGTGCCCGTTCACTTCCATTTTGATCATGGCGGGCGTGGAGCTGGCAACCAGGCTAGGGGTGCTCTGGCTGGGACCTAGAGCAAAGTTGGGGTCAAGTAACTGAGAAGGCAGCTCTTTCAACTTGTGGGTCAGCAAGTGCTGCTTTAAATTACCCATAGTGGAGCACCCGCGCCTGCAGACCGCACAGACAAACGGACGCTCCTTAGTGTGGCTGCGGTGGTGGATTTCCAACGCGCTCCTGCAAGCAAAAGGCTTGGCACAGACACGACACACAGCACTGTCACACTTACCCCGTTCTCTGCTCAGGAACAGCAGGCTAAATGGGGCCTCCTCCTTGACGGCCGGCCGGCCAGGGTGGGCAGCCGTCAGGTCCAGGGCGCCTCCGTTTTCGGGGGCGGGGGGCGGACTGTCTGGCCTTTCGGTCTTTAGCGGGATCTCCTGGGGCTCCTCCTGGTTGCTGAGGCCCGGGGACTTGGACTGCAAGCTCTCGCTGTTGCTGTTCACCGGCGACAGGGCCTGCATGGAGGATGACGACTCGGACAGGGCCGGACTGCCCGCACTCCGGCTCTCCAGGTCGCCCACGGCGGACGAGGAGTCATTGCTCAGGTGGTCACTCTCCCCAGACCCGTTTTCCATGGACTTCAAGGTGGTCAGCTGTGGACAGCTCATGACAGAGTCGATCATTTTCATCTGGTTCTCCAGGGCTGCGATGCTGGAAATGACAGACGGCGGGGAGGGCGGACAGGAGCCCGAGAAGGATGGGAGAGGCTTGGATGGGTCGCCGGCTGCGTCCTTCAGCTCAACATCCTCCTCCATGGAATTCTCGTCCATGTCATCGTCGTAGCCGCTCAGGGCTTCCGCGGCCTTCTCATCGTAAGGGAGCTCGGCGTCCATGGCATCCTGGAAGCCTTCGGGCAGCGGTGTGTTTGGGATCTGCCCCCCCATGTGCATGCGGATGTGCTGTTGGAGGACCACGGCATTGGTGAACTTCTTCTGGCAGATGGGGCAGGAGTGCTGCACGCGCAGGGGTGGCTTGGCGCGGTGCACCCCGAAGTGCGTCTTCAGGTTCCCCTTGGTGGTGAAGGCGCGCCCACAGATCTTGCACTTGAAGGGCCTCTCCCCCGTGTGCGTCCTGTAGTGCATCTTCAGGGCGCTCTGACAGCTCAGCACGCGGTGGCAGATGACGCACTGGTTGGGGTCGGTCATCTTCTTGTCGATGTTCTCCACCAGCTGCTGCAGCTTGGAGGTCTCTGATGTCTGCATAGAGTCAAGCAGCCCTCCGAAGGGAAACTTTGCCTTGAACTGGTCAGAGGTGGCAGGAAGGACCGGGCTGCAGAGGCCTGTGGAGATGCTGCTGTCCGTGAGGGCAGTGGTGGCCGAGGTGGATGCGGTGGACACCTGCCCGCTGGCGGGGACGTCCCCTGCCCTGGCATTTGCGCAAGGCAGGCTCATGGGCTCGATTTTGGTCAGAGAAGACCCACCGAGCACTGGCTGTGGGGACTCTGCAGTCACTGGGACGCCCGGCTCCGAGCTGTTGAGGCCGGGGGACAAAGAGGTGCATTCGCTTGACGCAGGGGAGGGCCGTTGCGGGGAGCGGCTTGCAGGGGTGAGGCTGGGGGAGTCGGCGTAGTTGCTGACGCCAGGGATGGTGGGCGGGAGCTGCAGCCCGACCGACGTGGGCACGGTGGGCAGCACGGGCTTGCTGTCCAGCCAGGTGGTCACCGGTTTCTCTGGAGGCAGAGACATCCCGTAGGGGATTCCGGAGCAGGTGGGCACGTTGTCCAGGTACTCCGGGACGGGGTAGGGGTTCATCTGGATGTGGGGGTACTTCTCCTTGTGCCTCTGGAAGTGGACCTTCAGGTTGCCCTTTGTGGAGAAGCGGTTTCCACAGATGTTGCACTTGAAGGGCCTCTCGCCCGTGTGGGAGCGCAGGTGGATCTGCAGGGCGCTGTCGCTCCCAAATACCTTGGCACAGAACCTGCACTTGTGCTTAAAGAAGGGGTCCTCAGCACTGGCCTTGGGCTCGAACACCGACACGTTCGGGGGCTTGCCCTTGCGGTGCTTCATGAGGGCCGACAGGGGGTCCAGCGCGTTGGCTGTGGCCGCGATGCTGACCAGCGGGTTGGGGAAGATGACGCTGCTGGCGGTGGTCTGAGGTAGAAGTGGGTTTGGCAGGCTGGGGGCTGAGCTGAGCAGCGGTCCAGGCCCCAGGGCAGGGGGCGTGGAAGCATTCTGCGGCTGAGAGGAGCTGCTGGAGGCACCGGCCACCGAGGCTGGGGCGGTGGAGGCCGGGGCTGTGCTGGAGGATGCTGGCCCGCTGGACTCAGGGATGGAGGGGCCCCCGCCGGGCATGTGTGGGGTGCTTGTTCCAGATGCCGGCTGCGACAGGTGCTGGGGGCCCTCATAAGCCACTGGCTGGGCAGCAGGGCCTGGCGCCGTGGGGACAGAGGGGGCCCCGGCAGCGAGCTGCAGGGCTGAATGGGTAGCCAGCCCTTGGAGCTGGCTGGAGGCTGGCACTGGGGCATTCTGAGCCCCCGAGGCTGCCCCAGGGTTCAGCGGTGGCCTCAGGGGCTGGCGGTTCATCATGGCCACCTGGCTGCGGATCTGCTCGATCAGCTGCAGTTGGTGGATCTGCTGCTGCTGCAGGGCCATCAGCTGCTCCAGGATCATGGGGATGGCCACCGCGGCCACCCCGCTGCTGGATCCCACGCTGCCTGCAGCCCTCGCATTCTGGGAGAACTGTGCAACGGCCACCTTCGTGCTCAGGAGGGTCTCTAACGTCACGTTCGTGTTTGGCATGCTGTACGCGGCCACGGGTGCCACTTCGGGGATCTGAGGTAGCGGCGGCTTGCCCGTGTGCGAGGGACCTGGGCTGTGGAAGCTTTTGTCTCCAGAGGGTTCTGCTTCCATGGGCTCTTCCTCCTTCTCTGGGGCCCTCACGTCAACGCCCTCACTGTTCTCTTGGGGGGCCGCCTCCTCAGCAGCCTCACTCTCCGTCTGGTCACTGGGAGAGCTGGCCGGAGAAGGTTCTGGAAACTCTTCAGAGGGTGGTGCTGGCTCATCTTCACTCACGATCAAGACCAGCGGGTTCTTAGGGCAGCTCTTCTTGTGCTCAAGGAAGTCCGTCCACTTGAAGAATTCCGCACAGCATTTCTCACAAACGTTGGTTTCTTCGCTTCCACTTCTGCCCTCGTTCCCACTGTCACCTTCATCGGCGCCTTCCCCCGGGACGGCTGGGAAAATCAAGAGATTACATCAGCCAGCGGGTCACCACACAACCCGCCCTCCATTTCAAAATTTTGCACATAAGTAAAATCAATATTTTTTATTTTGTACAAATTACCCCACTTCAACATTTCTGACGTCCCGGCGTGTGTATTCTACGACTCCTTCTAGCTAGCTAATCATTTTCTTAGCACAATCCATCAAATTATGAGGTTCTATCAATTGTGGATACTGCTTCTTAATGAAATTCCATAGAAGCCATTGATTTCCAATATTTTCATACAATCCACAGCCACCCTGTCTGTTGGGTACAAAGCCAGCTTTCGATGGGCTCATTAGGATTCCCCCTGCCATCGGGCTTCCTCATTTCCAGCAAAATTAGAGATGCCTTTGCCAGTTCACTTAACATTGCTAAACTAATCTGTAACCTTTCAAACTCACGTCAGCACCTGACAGGGGAGCCGGCCGCTGTGACTCTCGTGGGCTCCAACCACGGAGATTTATCATCTTTACGCAGCATGGCGACATTACAGATTTAATGTAATCCTATAGAACCTCTCAAATCAATGGGCATTTATTTCATGTAGGAAGTTCCAGCTAAATACTTTCATTTGCAAACGTAACAAAGAAAATATAAGCACTTCTTACATCTCTGCTCAGAAAAACAATCTCCCCGACGCTTATTCGATTAACAAATAAATCACGCATCTTTTCAGTCCTCTGTCCCTTCCTTACGGAGAGGGTGCAGTTCTACATGTTAGGATTTGCCAAATGAATATCATCAATATAGTCCAGGCCTAAAATTAATCATGTTTAATACAATTAATTGGCTCTGTCAGATGCAATATTTCTTGGCGAAATGAACCAAAATTATATGTTATTGTGGTTTGCCGATAGAGTTCAGTGGTTTGTTAACAAACTAGAAATTACATATTTAAAGTTCATTTATGTTGACATGTTTAACATGAGAATGTTGTAGTCAGACACACTTTTTGTACCTATTTTCATCTATTCTCATAGAAAGACTTAGCAAATTATATGCTTGTGCCATGGTGGAAAACCCTGTAATTGGTTACACATGTTTAATTACTGTTGTAGGCAGCTACTTCCTGACTTCCTTTACCCTCTTGTGCCGAATAACAACCACGTTTAATGAACAACTCTAATTCACACCTGATCAAATAAATAGCTATACAGGAATGAGAAATCAACATAGGATAACATTTCCGGCTCCTATTTTTTCAGTGGTTGGGGGGGAAAGGTAACATGCAATAATCACTCGAGCTCTATGTGCTGGCATGGGTATTACTGACTCGTAACTGCTTCTCGTCAACTTACAGTGGAGGACAGCAACATATCAGTTTGAACAGAGACAAATGACAGCTGCAAATCAGTCCTTTGTTACCGTGCATAGTCGAGTGTGAGAACAAACATCCCCAAGTTTGTGTCCCTGGAAATAATTCACTGTTATAACATCAACAGACATATTTGCTAAGCAGTCTCCATATTCGTCCTTTCAGGGTTTTGGAAAAATAATAATCTGGCATGGATTTCAGTAGAGAAATCTGATTTTTAAAAAATACCCTGTAAAAACATTTGGTCCCTCTACTGGAAAAGAAAATAAAAATATTTTTCGAGGCTAGTCTGCTGCTCTCCATGAGGCCATTATTTCCAGGTAATTTATACATGCCTTTAAAAAATTATTAGCAGTGTCCAATTAGCATTTTCTTAACTGGCTAAACCATTTAAAGGGGAAAAGAAGTTAGAGTTTGCAGCCCATAAAGACCTGCTAGACTTTTAAACTAAATTCAGTGCTGAAGATCAGACTGCAAGAAGTCCCATTACTGTACGAAGGAAGGAATGTAATAGGTATCTGTAATGAGGTTGAGTATAGCTGGAAGCAAAGACATAGCTGATTTATACTGCAGATAGGAGCATTAACAAAACAAATACGTGCAGCTTAACTTTGCTCAATGGATGCAAAACCTAATTTTAAACCTGCTAAGGTTAGGGAACAGAGCAAAAAAAAAAAAAAACGAAAGAAAAACCAAACTAAAATCATCAAGTAAATAATTTCTTAATGACTAATAAAAAATAAGGGCTATCTAAAATCCTAGTCATGTATTTAAAAAATTACCACACAACGCAAAGAATTTCTACTTTTAAATTTCTTTATGGGAGTGGACTGTTCTTCTGCAGACCCACATAGCCAAAAAAGTCTAAGTGGCTATTAAGAAAAAGTTCTTCTGCATTAAGCAATCAAGTTGGAAGTGATGTTATACTACATCATAACAATTATAACCGTTATAACTAACTGTGGGACAGAATATCTTTAAAAATTATTTTCCAGTATTTTAAAGCTATGACATAAAAGGCCTGCCACAATCTTCATAAAGACTTTTATTTTAATAACTTTTAAAAGAAAAATACCAAGAAATTAAATACTGCTAATTTCTTGAAATAGAATTCTACCTTTAACTCCTTAGAGGAGATAAAATATATAACCTACATCATATACAAAAGCATTCACTGGTATATACATTTAAAATTTTACACAGTGCACATCTTATTTAAAGAATATTTTATATGGAATACATGTTAGGGAAGTTCACTGAGAAAATGCTTAAAATTACGTTGATTTCTGGATCATTTAAAGTGTGTTCAGTGTTGGAAGACCTCAACTGTAAATAAATTTTATCTTTACAAATGAATACCTCCCCTATTTTCTTTGTCAAGCTATGGCACGTGAAAGAGAGAAATACGACCTTGTTTTACACTGTACTTTTCTCAAAGGTCTTAAGCAACCCAAACAAATCTCTATTTAAAGACAAATTTTTATGTTTCCGCTGGTTTTGCATGTGTTAAGTATTTTTAGGGTTCACCTCCAAATTCATGGAAGTCGGGAAGCTTTCCCACAGGTAATTTCCTTTTTCTCCCATTGGGAGGTTTGCGAAATTACAACCGTTCCCCAATTGTAGAAATTGTGCCTAGAATATTCAGGCACTTTCTACCAAATAATAAGTCGTTTTGTTTAATGCAATTATAATTGATAATTACTTAAACATACCGAAGATATTCTTGTAAAGTAAAATAACCTTCCACTTGTATTCCTCTAAAATTGAGGAAGGAAAGCAAAATTGAAGAGAAAATTGTGTAAAAATGGCATTCTGACCATTTAGACCTGTTAACAGTTCATTACGTGAACAGACCTAACAAAACAGACAATTGTTGGATTTTATAAGCAAAGTTTCATAATAAATTTGCCTTTTGACTAAACATTTTAAAAACTACAATTAGTGAAGGAAACAATTCTTCAATAGAATTCAGATTTCTTATTTTGGGCAAATAATTTGGAAGCACTACCTATAATTTTTTAATTGGAGTTTGTGTAAAATATATCATCACTTGTTCTCACTCGCTCAGGCTACGAGTGTGTTTCTCTATCAAAATCTGAAATTGATTAGCATTCCATAAAAGCTATAGAGAAGCACAAATTTCATACAATGAACAGAAATTAAAAAAAAAACACTTAATTTCCTGTGTGGAATTCAAATTTGGGGTGCATATTTGAAGAACATTATTAAACAACAATAAGCACTTCTGTTGAATTGATCGGTAGGAAATAACCAAAGCGCGCCTGTTTTATAGGGACACAGCTCCTTAGGAGGAGGAGCCACTGTACTCAGGTGCAGAGGGAAAGCACTGATTCCTGAAGGTTCCGAAGAGAGTGAGGGAAATAAAATAAGTTGTTATAACTTGCTTCGATAGCTCTTCTCATTACAATGATCACATGGATAGTGTTAAGAGTGTATATGTGCCAATCTGGCAGCATTTAAAAAAAAAATGATTTCTATAACAAGAAAACCCATATAGGGAAAATCTGACTGCAGCTTACAATTTTATCACATAACTTCTAAAGCCCTTTAATCCTGCCATTGTTTTAAACCAATATTACGTCAGATCCAAATGTATTCAACTATCTTTTAATTAAATTTGCACTCTAAACTGGGCTTTGTGTTCTAAAAATAGAAGTTAGTACACTCATTAGATGATACGTCTTAAAATTTTTATTTCAAGGTAAAATCATGTAACAACAGTACAAGTTCGAGAAATTTATTTCCAATGCAACTGGAAATTTTTTCTTTCTTAAGGGAGGAATCGAAATACAAGCATTGTAAACGTTATTACTAATGTCAAAGAAATGTTTCTTTTTGCATACTGACTGTTCAATGACTAAGAGACCTCAAACTAAGAGGCAAAGGGCTGAAGCAGGAATCTGCAGTGCATTAGGGTTATATTACAAGGGAAGAAAGATGTCAACCAATTCACCAGTGATAGAACTTAACCCAGATCCTTCCCTTCTCAGTTAACAGGAATATTTGGTCAAGGTTACTTTGTACAAGTCCCATTTGGATCTGCTGTGCTCATGCACCAACGGGAGGAAGAAGTTCTGGAATAACTCAGCTTTGCCAATGTCAAATATGTACCAGCCCAAGCCTTCAAGTCGGGCATGTGCACTTAATGCTGATCTGTTTTCCTGAATGCAGTCAGGAGGAGGGTAAAGAACAGAGGCTGAAAAATAAAGCTATTTCAGTGTAAGAGGAAATGCATAATTACTTTACAGCTATCCCCACACTTGCTATTTATACTTAAGAGTTTCAGGGTTTCTAACTCTATCACTGTTCAAACATTCTTGAGCAAGTTCTATATGTTTCTCAGTGCTACACAAGAGGGGAAATGGGTCCCACGGCCTTTTAGAGAAAGCTTCTAACAAAAGGACAGCTTCAATGATAGTCTTAAAAATACATGGGGTTTTTTTTCTTCTCACTAATAAAACACACAGAAAATGTTTAACAAAGATGTTCCTATTCTTAGGATAAATTCTTTCAGTGTGAAAGGAGCCCCCCCAAACTGTTCCACTGTTCTCTCAGCGTTCATTCCTGGTCTGTTATATAATATACGTGTATCATGTTTTCACTGTCTGTAAAAGCATATTATGCTCTGCGAA